AAAAGAATAAATAATACATTTATTAATTCTTCAAATCTAACCTTCACTTTTGAGAAATTAGAGTCTCGTGCTGATAACGTGTTATAAAACTATAGAATAAGAAGAAGAAACTAGAGAAAAAAGAAGAGAAGACTTGTTATTTCTCTTGATGAATTAATTTACAATGAAGAGGAGCACTTTATTTATAGGAGAAATCTAACTTGGTCCCCAAGTAGGAGGACTCTTTAATCATATCCTAAAAGGGCTCCACATGATAGACATTCACTATAATACAAATACTTTATAACAGTATCTAATAAGTAGTAATCTTAATTAAGATATGAGTTGTACTTTTAATAATGGGGTATCTGAAATGTATATGTATCCACCATTAAATTTCGAATACATGATTTTTAACTATACAATGATATAAATGATACAACAGATACTCTACCGTCATGATTTGTTCCTAAATTCATGTGTTTCACCTATATTTCATATTTCGTACACATAATTAAATATATATGTAGATGCTTACTATGTAATCGAGATACATGTTTTTGAATATAACATATGCAAATGATACTTGATATATCAAATTAATATTAGATACGTATAAAAGATACATGAATTATATATATATATATAAAAATACATAAAATTAATACTAGATACATATAATAAATACGTAAAATTAATGCTAAATACTTTAAAACATATGAATATACTTTTATGACACTCGTGAATCTAAATGTTTAGTTTGTTAGATACATCATAAATTGATAATAGATACATCAAATTAATGAATTTATTTTTTTAAAGAGTAATAATTTGAAATTAATCAAATTACACCATCAAGATATACATGTTTTTATCTTACATTAATAAATATTAATGAATTTACTATATCAAATAATAATAAAATGAAATTAATTATCTATGTATTTTGAAAATCTTCAATTTCTTCTCTAATCAAGTAAATCAGTTACAACTAATTAATTTGAATAAATAATTTTTTAGTTCAACTTTAAAATTTTGTAGATATATGTATATCTCAGATTTAAACTCATGTATCCTAGGCATAAAATATAGTAGAAGAAGTATTATTTGAAACTCTTGAGAATCTTAGTAATTAAGACCTAAATTAGAGAGATTTATGTGGTTTACCCAAATGTATAATAGTTTTTACCTTTTTTTAGTACATAAAATTTAATTCACACTAAATGTTTCTTTTTTCTTTCCTTTTACAATTCGAAATTCTAGAGAGAAAAAATTAGGAAAAAAAGATTGTTAAGTCGGTTAATAATTTTAAGGACTTTATTTTCCAAATACACTAAGGATTCTAATTCTTAACAAAAACGGATTTTATTTTATTTTCCCTATATATACACCCAATTATTCTCCCAAAATTCTCACATCAATTCACATAATTTTCTCTTCTACTTGTGATTAAACAAAAATTTAATATATTTTTCAATAATGGCAATTCTCTCAGATTATCAAGAAGAAAATCAAGAACAAACTATGGAGATTATTGAGAAAGAACAAGATAATTCTTCTACTTTAGCCCCTAAAGAAGAAGAAATTTCATCTTCAACCCCAAAAGAAGAGAAACTTAAGCCAAATAAGTCCAATGGACTTGATATGGAAAATTATTCATGGGGACAATCTCTTCAAGAAGTTACCATCAATGTTCCTGTTCCTCCAGGTATAAAATAATTTAATTTATTACATGTTTAATAAGTAAAAAACTTTTTCTGACTATATATAAATTGTTATATCCCTTTAATACGTTTAGAAATTGCTTTAAATAGCTTATTTAAAAATATATTTCAAATCACAAGTTAAACTTTGATCATGACAATCTATTAATACTTTTTAAATCCTTTTACATAGATTATTAATTTTTTGTTATTGTCATATATAATAAATTATCTAAATATAATTTCTGATTTTGTTTACTTTTTTAACCTTAGGTACAAAATCAAGATTCATAATTGTGGAAATCAAGGCCAATACTCTCAAAGTTGGTCTAAAAAACCAACCACTAATATTAGATGGTGAATATTTCAAGGGAGTTAAAGTTGATGAATGTTATTGGAGTTTAGAAGATGAAAAGGAAATTTCAATTCTTTTAACAAAACAAAACAAAACTGATTGGTGGAAAAGTTTATTTAAAGGTGGAGAAGAAATTGACACACAAAAAGTAGAGCCAGAACCAAGTAAATTGAGTGATTTGGACACAGAAACAAGAGCAGCAGTTGAAAAAATGATGTTTGATCAAAGACAAAAACAAATGGGACTTCCATCAAGTGAGGAGATTAAGAATCAAGATATGCTTAAACAATTTATGGAACAAAATCCTCATATGGCTAAGAATTTTGGGAATGCTAACATGATGATGCCAAATTCTAGGATGATGGGCTAGTACTTTTAGGAAGGTCATATTTTTTTTCTTAATTCAAAAAAAATAATTCCACTAGATAATTTTATTTTTTTATGTATTTTACTTTTTTTTTTAATGAAAAGTTTCTATATTTTTCATGTCATTATAATATTTTGTTGAACTATAATTAAAAAATTAAACATCCATGACTTACATATTATATTCTTATGTTTTAATGCTTATGCAAGTCTATACTAAATAAAATGGCAACTTTTAGTTGAAAGGTTTGAGGTGAAGATCTATGTAGGCTAAATAAAAGTAGCAAGTCATACATATAATTTTTATTTACTCTCATATGGTCCCAAAATTATCATATCATAAAAATGGCAACTTTTAATTGAAAGGGTTCTTGTCATATAGTATCTAATGAAAAATCTATGTGCATTATTGGACTCTAGATGTAGCTTTTGAATTATGGATTCAATCCATCCTAATATTTTTATTTTTTCTATAATATATAATAAAAATATAAATAGGGGTGTATAAAATCGAATTAAATCACAAATTGAATCAAATCGGGAAAAAAATCCTTATATTATATGTGTAAAATATTATTTTATACATAAAATATTTACGTTGATATTATTTTAAAATATTTCTTATACTATTTCATAGTTTTTAACTTTTAATATATTGTTTCAAGTTTAAAATATAGAATTTGGAATGGTCCAATATAGATTATAGTTCATAGATTGATAATTATAATAAAGCTTAAATTAAAATTAAATTAATACTAATGCAAAAAGAAAAAATCAATTCAACACTAAAAATGACAATAATATTGAATATTTGTTCTTTAGTTTTATATTTATTTACATAATCTAATTTTTGTTTTCCTTAAATATTTAATAATGTAACTAATACTTATTAAACTTATTTTAGCATGATTTAAAAATTTTAAATTATGATTATTTTCATTATGACTTTACAATATTTATTTTATATGATGATTTATTGTTATTTTTTATTGAATATTTTTGTGTCATCAATACTCATCTCATCTTTTGTGTAATTTTTTCAAGAAATACCTTAGATAATTATATTATGGTTGGACTAAAGAAATATTTGGAGCACAAGTTAATTATATGTTTGTATGCAAACTTTACCCGAAAAATCTAAAAATCTGGAAAAATCCGAAGTTTATTAGTTTGGTTTGATTAAAAATTTAAAAATTCGACACAATGGTTTGGTTTGGTACTTGAAAAATACGAATCAACCCAGAGTTGAAAACCCCGAAAAAATCTGAATTTTATTAATTTGGTCTGATTTATAATTTTAAAAATTTTACACGAATAATTTGATTTGATATTTAAAAAACCCGAACAAGCCCGAAACATGAAAATTTACATAACTTCAATAATATCATATTTAATTATTCAAAAGTATGATGAAAGTTATTTTGAAGGATTATGCCTAGTTGAAAATTTAGAAATTTAAGTCATTGTAGCACTTATTGTCCTTCTAACGAATAATTATTTTTTAAAGAAATAATATTTAAGATCCATCAAATATTATCACATATATTAAGACAAGTTAAACAGTGACATTCGAGTTTAATTGAATTGATGTTCCAAACGTACTAAGCTTTCACCATTTCTAGTGTCCTAGTTTGGAATATATCTTACTCCGTTAAATATATATTTAATGTTTGTTCATTTTTTTATGTTTTGAAAGCAAATGAGTCATTGCTATAAAGCCAAAGTTTTATTAACAACTTGATTTATGTGCTTAATCAAGAAGAGTCATGTTAGTTTGGCCAAATTTTCTAAATATATTTATTTTGATAAGTATTATGTAGAAAATATTTTTGGAGAGTAATAATTTTGTGTTGATTAATTAATTTAAAAGTTTTTTTTTAAAATCAGTTTTAGAACCTTAGTTTGTGCTTGACCTAATTTCACAATTACTTTTTGTATTTTTAATTTTCTTTTTTTCTAATTGTAAAGATTAATTCATGCTATTATTCAAAAGCACATTTCTTTTCCCCCTCTAAAAACTTAACCAAATATCTCAATTTTATAAAGTAAGTATTTTCTTAAAATTATAATCTTTTTTAGCTTCTAACTGTTGCCCGACTATTGGGTTCGACTAATCCATATTTATTCTTAAAAAAATCACTTATAGGGTAAACTGCTCTTTTTAAATACGATTTCTTTTAGGTTTAAATTTAAAAACTCTAATTAAAAAATCTAAAATATACTTACAGTCCATCACAAACTTATAATATTATGTGAATGCTCTTAAATTTTGCTTTTGTTATCTTTTGGCACATTATGAGCCGAATACACATACAAAAAATTCTAATAATAAGTAATCGTAAGACTCAACCCAAAACATATATACATTTAAGTATATTATCATCTTATCTTATATTATCATCTTAACGTGAAATAAAAAAGCAAATCTATATGATACCAATAATTAACCATAAGGAACTAGAGAAAAAAAAACAACTTCATGTAGAATCCAAAGAGAATTAATGTAAACAACTCAATTCAACATCAATACTTCAATTAAAAACAAATCTCTTGACATAAAAATTAAAAAGACACCTCAATATTATCAATGTGGACGATCAAGGAGATCTTGAAGGTGGAAAAAATTGCGTACCAGCTACCATAAAAGTGCTAAGGGGAGCTGGAAATAAAGAAGGATCTAGAAAATTCGATGGACCCGCTGCAGTAGCATCGCCACCACTTGTAGTGGTGGCGGTAGCTACTGCAGCGGAATTATGGTGGTGGTGCTGAACTCCGCCAGCACTACCACCGGAAGACGTATCGCCTCCGGCTGCAACCATGTTATTGTACTGACTTTCATGACCTTGATCATATAAAATTCCTTTGAAAACATGTCCACCAATGCTCACAGCAGCTTGATATGCTAATTGATCTTCATCATCCTCAATTGAACTCATTTGAATACACTGAAATACAGCACTTGTACGTACTTTTGATGGAAATTTTCCCACTTCTAACCCTAAAAATAACACATGAAATTCCATAATACAAAATTAGGTTTATTTGGACTAATGTATTGCAAATAAATATTTTTTTTTACCTAGTATCACTTGACACGAAATTTAGTAAAGCAATTTGAATTTTATGGTCTAAAACTAAAAATATGTCAAATGTATCAAAACACTATTTAATCTTGTGGTTTTTTTAAACATTTCATCTGAAAAGTTTAGAATAAACACTTGCTTGAAAAATAGTCAATTTATTTTAATCGAACTAAAAGGAAAAGCAGGTAAAAAAATTTGAAATGCAAGTGCATTTACTATATATATAAGTTAATTCCAATACTAATGAAAATGATAACACCAATTATTATACATATTTGGAGAGTTAATAGCCACTCAACTAATAGTTATTTTTTTGGTAAGCAACATATATTATTACTCAAATAATAGTTATTATTTCAAAAGTACATTTACTAATAGATATATAAGTTAATTCCAATACTAATGACAATATATGATAACACCAATTATTATACATGAATTAGAGAGTTGGTTTCTCAAATACTCACTCCACTAACAGTTTTTTGGGTAAGTCACATATATTATTACTCAAATAATAGTTATTATCTTAAAAAAAAATTGACGAAAATTGAAATTAAGAATAATGGTGATCTTTTTAGGGTCGAGATAAATATCATGTGTAGGTCTAAGAGAAAGAAATTGTGCATACACACGCGCAAGGGTACAAGTAAAGTTTTAGTTTTGCTATTTTGTTAGTAATACATATAAATAATTTATTCACACTTTCTATTAACTAGAATTAAAAATTCATAATTAACTCAAAAATTTGAATATATCTCATTACGAATTTTTGTCAATCTTTTGTAGAGTAATAAAAAAGAAGAGTGATGATGGAAGAAGAGAATGACAAATAGAAAAAGAAAAAGCTGACGAATTTACTATAGGGTCTCTTTTCTCTATAGACTTACTTTATATAGAATTCATTTAGGCAATGATCAAATTAATCTTCTTTACATGATGGATCTCAAGACTCTATGTCTTTGTGTGATACAAAAAAAATTAATATTATTCCCTCGTTTCAATTTAAATATTTATCTACGTTTTTCAATTTCAACATCTTATATTCATGTTCAGTCAAACTAAGACCTTTAAATTAAAACAGACGTAGCAATGAAAAGGTAAGAAAAACATGAAGTACTTTACCATTAGTGTTTGAAGGCAAACGAGTAGACACAAGAGAAGAAGCACTTGGATCCTCCCTTTGCCTTTTATTCTTATGATTATTATTATTATTATTATGTCCTTGTTGTTGTTGTTGCAAAGCAGCAAGTTGTTGTTGCCTTTCTCTCCTTTTAGCTGCTGGAACCCAAGTACTTTTCACATGAGTTTGACACTGAAACCCTCTACTCTTACAACAAGTCCTACACCTCATATGTTGACAATCTTTCTTAGCTTGGTTCCCACAATCTTGGCAACTTATTCCTCCTCCACCACTCCTCATCATCACGAATCCCGACCTCGACGCCTCATGATCACCTGCACAATAATAATCCCCATCCCGCCTTTTAGCAACAGATTCAATTGAACTTAATATGCACGATATATATAGAGAGAGCGGTGCAACAAATAGTACTATAGTTTCGTTGCTATATGGTTCTACAGTGAGAACATAAATATTAAAAGATATGACATCTAGTCTAACTTAATTCCAAAACTAGCTAGCTCATGAAGGAAGGATTGCTCAAGTTTATACAAGGAGACCAAATACTCATCCTTTTTCTGAATTCTTTACACTCTTCTGCAAGCCCAGATCTCGTTAACTAGAACGTGGACACTGTAATATGGAGGGGCCAGCGTAGGTTAACTAGATTGTGGACACAATAATATGGGGGGCCAATATTGGTGAACAAAGAATTGAGATGAATCTTACTCTGATATCATGTAAAGATATGACATATGAACCTAATTTAACCTCAAAAGTTAGCTCATGAATGGAGAATTTCCCAAGTCCATAGACCAAATTCCCATGCCTTTTCGAGGCTGGGAATTCTAACATGCTTCAGTAAATACGTTTCGAAATCCCTAATTGCAAAATGTTGTGAATTGTTTAGAACATAAATATTAAATTTATCAAACTTAAATTATAGATCTATAAGTACTTTAGAAAGTACTGAATAGATAAAGTTTAAATTCTAAATCTGTTTCTGATGATCACCTGCAGATATATCAAAGCCACTTCTGCTTGGCCCAACCCCTAATCCAACATCAGTGGAATAAAGATCTTGCAAAGGATAAATCGGATGACGAAACTGTTGTTGTTGTTGGTGGTGTTGGTGTTGGTGTTGTGGAGTGTTACCACTTTGCCATAACTCAAAACCTTTGTAAGTGTTGGGTATTTCTTGATTATGATGATGATGATGATGTTCATTTCTGTACAAAAACCAATTATTACTCTCTGTGGGTACTAATGCTTGGCTGCTGCTAATTTCTTGATGTTGTTGTTCTTGATTCCCACCTAATGAAAAGAAATTAGCCATACTTGTTGTTAATCTTGATTATGATTAGTGATTAATCACAATCCATACCACAAAAGTGCACCAACTTATAACACAAATATGATGTTTGTATCCCTTGGATTTCTTCATTTATGATCTCAAAAAAAATTATTTTTCTTTTTTTTGAAGGGTTTACAAAATTAGAACTTCTTTTTTGCTCTATATGTATGTGTATATATAAAGAAAAAATGTGAATTTATAATAGAGCAAGTTTAAGAAAAAATGATTGTTTGTATAAAGAATTATGGAGAGGAAGTGAGTGAGTGAGGGTACATTAATAGAAAAGGTATATTATATATATTACAGCTCTGCAAACGCCGCCAACGCTAAAAAGCACCACAACTACCCCCCCCCCCTCCCCTCTCTTTACCGCTACAGTTTGCAGTAACTTAAAAAGTTTCGCGATTGTTTGGTAGGTCGTATAAAATAAGTGAGAAGCTAAGTATTGAAGATATTTGTCAATTTAGTGTGAATTATTAGTTTTTTAAAAAAAATTTATAATAATTTTAAATATATTTAGATCTACTACATGATATACTAAAAGTGATTTCAAATTCTTATACGAGCTTGAAACTCTTAATAAAAAGTTGACAGATAAAGTGTTGGAAACATTCTAAATTTTCAATCATTGATCGCGAAAATTTCTATAATGAATTGGGTAGGTCGCTAGTATAGTTTCCTAGCCACGATGACTCTTTCCGATGGTTAGAAATAGGAAGAGTAAATATGATTTTCATTAGGGTGTATTTCATCATTGTGACAAGATCGAGTGTGTATTTAAGTTCATCTAACCCAGTAGAGGAGTGTTTATAATACTGTCAATAGTTCAGGGATCAAACTAATAATTCACATCGAATTTAATGGTGTTTTTAATATTTATTTTTAAGAATATTAGTGGTGAATATAATATATCATTAATATTGATATTCGTTACTCTCTCCTCCTATTTATGTGATACTTTTCAGATTTTGAAATTCAAATAAGTATATCTTTGACTTTTAAATATTTTGAATTGTCAATTATTGTGTCTTATAGTATTTTTACGTAGTTTTTATTAATATATAAATTTCTTTTTAGAATTTTCGAAAATTTCATGCGTAAATTCTCGCTCAAATTTAAATTGTTTAGCTCTTAAAAAACTAAAAGGTATCACATAAATTGAGACACAAAAAATATGTACAATTATTTTTAATGCAGTGTTTATTGTGTTATAGTTTAAAAAAAAAACATATATCGCGATGGAAAGAATGTGAAAAAAGATGATCATACTAATGTATGTATTACTGAATAAGAGCTTTTTGTATTTCCATAAATCATTATTCATCAGTAATACACAACATAATATAAAAAATAATGTGTAACTAATGATATATTAAAAATATTATATATATATATATATATATAAAAGTTAGGGGCGAAGTTAAGATTATGAGTTTGAGATTCTAAATCAATTTGTTTAGGGATTATAATTTAATATATACGTAAAAAAAAGAATCTAATATAAATATAAAATCTACGAAAAAACTGATAAATCCATCCGAACAAATAAACTCCACCTAACTTTTCATCTCTGTGTAAACCTGATACCGGCCCTCTTTACCATTATTCCCCCTCTTCTAAATATACTGTCCAATTTGGGTGTAAGGTATCGGCCTTGTTTAAGTTATATGCATTTTTCATGAAAAAATGTCCAAGAAAGTTTGTCATGAAAGAATTAATTAAGGTATAGTACATAGATAAATATTTAAATTAATTTTCAGATGGCAATTAAATATTTTAATTCTACGATTGTATATATAAACGCCTCAGTTTAGTCTCAATCAAACATTATACATTTCAACTTATTATTATGTTTCGAGGATATCTTAGAAAATATGTGACATTTAAATTTTGAAAATATTAAGATGATCAGTTTATAAATGAAGTATTTTATTCTTAATCAGAGGTCTTAAGTTCGAGCTCTGGGTATAGACTATCGACAAAATGTTGTTGGGAGACCCATCCCTGCATTGCTCTGAAGAGTGCGATTCGAATTTAGTTAAAACTTCAATATGAACTTTGAATGCCGAGTTAAAAACAAAAAAAAATGTCAAAGTACACGCACTTAATTTTTTTTTAATAAAATCAATTATAGATTCCAATATAAATTAATATAAATTTTCATATCTCATTCATAATACTAGCGATAATAGTAAAACAATAACTATGTTTCTCCTCCTAAATTGGTATAGTTGGAAAACATATTTTCATTTTATGTTATTGTAAATTTTAAATATTTTTTATCAAATTTTATAGTTGTTAGATGACGTTTAAAAAAATTAACCATCAATTTGAATTATACCTAAATCAAAGAGAAACCAAAACGATTAAGACAGATTCAAAAATTTTAATTTTAATCATACATCATTGAAAATATAAACAATTAATATGACACAATTTTTCAAAATAACCTATCAATTTGAAACGACTAATTAACACCCCTTCATCATCTACATTATCTAGGACCATATCAAATCAAATATCCTTTAATTTTTTTTTTCCAGAAATTATTATCACATTCGAATTATACATAGTGTTGGCACCTAGTATTATAGCAGTAACTATTGATGACTAACTGTTGACATAAAGTACAAAACTTATTTTTATACTTTTTTTTGGTAAAACTTTTTTTTTCCTTTCAATCACGTAATTAACAGTAATACCAATAAATGAAGGAGCCGCAATATTAATTTCAATTTTCAACAGTCTTTATGTATATAAAACCAACTATTTTAGGCATTACATAATTATTTCGGTTCTTTATATTTTCTTGTCTGATTTATTAACTTTTTTTCTTACCTAAATATAACAACGGACAATAATTTTAATTCTATAAAACTAGGTAAAATTGCCTATAACTAAATAAAAGACCTTCAAAAACTCAGACAATCTAAGCTAATGATTAATAATAGAGAATTTCCAAGATAAATGTTATGTCTTAGCCCGTAAAATTGTTGGCTATATAATGCCGCGTGTCAAGTATTGTAAAAGTATTAAAACTATTTAAAATTTTGAGCAAGAATTGTTTTATTTATCCACATTTTAGATATATTAGCTCTTAATATATTCCTATACTATGTACAAATCTAATGATAATTATTTCAACCTAAAAAGAAAGAAGATCATGATTAAGGATATTTGTTAAAATAATTTGAATTATGATGAGGTGATGGACATACATCTTAATTTAACTTGTCAAATTTAACTATTCACCTATTAAATATTTGATAAGATCATAAGAAATTTCTTTTTAATTTTTACGAGTAAATTGAATTCTTAATTCAAGTTCCTAGAATAAAAATCCAATGTTTTGTCTTGGAGGAATATATATATATATATATATATATATATATATTGAGAATTGGGATTACAAGGTAAAATTACATACATTTAACTTGTCTCCATCCATATTATATTGTTTTTAACAGCTAATATATCTAAAATATGGATATTATATTTATACTGAAAAACCAACGGTATACGTGTGTTATAACATTATATTGTAGTAGAGAATATTTACAGTTTGTGCAATTTATTATTCCATGTGGGAAGAAAATATTTCTTATAAATATGATTCTTTTTATTAAGTTATGAGGTTTTATAAAATTCTTTTTTCGTTCTATATTGATTTTCTATTTTTTCTTTACATGCTTCTTAAAAAATCATAAATATGAAAGGTAGTTTTACTGATTTACTCCTTTAAGATTTTTTTTAAAAAAAAACTTTACAAAGTGGTTCATACTTTCAAAAAGAATTGCTCCTTGTAAGGATAAAATTGAAAAAATATAATCAGTTCTATCTTAATTTTGTAATTAGGTCAATTATATTTAGGAACATCGATAACTAATAGGCGATTAATTTAGGAACATCGATAACTAATATGCGATTAAAATACTACTTCTAGGTGCATAAACCCTAATTAAGAGCATATACAATTTGACTTGCCATGGCTTGATGATGGATTACATATGGAGATATGCATTGTTTTTTCTAAATAATTGGTAGTTAATATACTAGGATTTAGGAACATTTATCTCTTGGTGTTACTAAAACTAAGACACTTTATTTAGCAACATGATTCTACTTTTTCTTTTTACCACAAATTTATATTACTAGATAGTGTTTTGTAATATAAAACCTCACAAATTAGTAATAATAAAAAGAGCTAGACCTTATCACATCAAACATAATTCTACTATTAGCCTTTCTTTTAACTAGAAATAAATAAAGGGAGGAATGAATGTTTTTTTCCTATTTATATAGGAGGTTTGGGACTATCTTTTTAATACAATAAAATTGTTAACCTTACCAAAAAAATAATAATTAATTTTAACCAGTATTTCCCCTTTACCAGCTCTACGTTAGGATTTTGGTAAAATGTGTTAGTGAAAATAATGTATATATGAATTTTGATATTACATATTAATCCCTTGTTTGGTATAATTTTTTAATGTAATCTACTTTGGTCCTTTAAGATATCTCAGTTGATTTAGAGGGTGGTCAACAATATTTTTGTGTACAAATTAAGGTAATAAAATGGAGAGTATTTTTGTAAGCAAATAATTTAAAAAATATGTTTAATGCATGTTTATTTTAATATACTAAATTAATAAATAAAACGAAAATTATATGATTAAACAAACATATACTAGTTAATTAGTCACATAGCCATAGTTGTAGTTAACTACCACTCGCGACCTACGTGGCTAGGGCTTTTGAGTTTGTATAATTCACATATTTGTGTAATTCAAAATTTGTATAGTATAATTTGTATAATTTTTGTAAAATATAACTTTGTATAATATAATTTGTATAACTGTTTAAAGTTCAAATGTTTTTGTTTGTATAAATTCGTTATTTCGAATTTATACAAAAATAGCTCAATTATACAAATGTACCCGCGAATAATACAAACGAGCAGCTTAAGTTGTAGCTACACCCCG